CTAGCACAGGCCTAGGAGGTGCACTCCGCGAGAGATACATCCGACGGTTGATGCGTGGTGCACCAGCAGTCCTAGATCGCCAGCCCGCTCCTGTCTCACCCTTGCGGAGGAGCACCTCGCCCTCGACCCCGGCCCCTGCCTCTACCGCGACCCCGCCCTCCGCCAGGAGTGCCAGGATCTCCGCCATCAGTCGCACCCAGGGCTACAGACGCAGCAGACGCAGGGGCTGAGCCCTCGCTCGTTGTCTGTCCCTGAGCAGGACGGGCCAATATCTTTGGCGGGGCCGCATCGCGCTGCAGGATCCCGGTCGGGACGCCGCCACCGCGGGGACCACGCTCGCGTTTTTCCTCCTTCTGCCTGGGCGCAGGAGGCGCTTCCGCGACAACTGTGGAGCTGGTCGTCGATGCCACGGCACCATCCTTGTCCTTGTCCTTGTCTTTGTCGCGTTCGCGACGCGACTTGCGCTCGACGCCCGCCCCGCTAAGCGCAGCCTCGAACTGTCGCGAGGCGATGCTAAGAACTGGGCATGCGCAACGCATGGGAATCCCGGCATAGTCCTCAGCAGCAAAGGGAGCGGCGGAGGCAGGTGCCGGGGCAGCAGCCGACCCACTCGTCGACGCGCTCGACGACACTGAAGGTCCAGACGCGGTCCCCTTGCGCTCCCGAGGCGCCTTCGGTGGCTTCGATGCGCCCTGCTTATTTGCGGATGTCGCGGCGGTGGCCTTGACGTCCTTGCTCGCGCCCGCCTGTGCTTGGCCCTGCTGCTGATGCGCCGCCGCTTTCGCCGCGGCCGCAGCCTTCTTCGCTCCCTTCTTGCTCGCAGCCGCACCATAACCTGCCGTCTTATCCTTTCTGGAATGGTGCAAACTCGACTATCGCGATGGACTCGTTGCCTATGGGAAGCGGTCAAGAATGACCTCAACACAGCATTCACCCATGGACCATACCATTCTTGTCCCTGAACAAATGCCCGTCATACTCCCTGCTGAATGTTGCGAGGATCTCCTCATCCCTGAATGCGATATATGCGCGCGACGGGATGTTCTCCTTGTTCAACCTGCCGGCATGACCCCTCGCCCCTCAGTCATCCATCGCGCCCTGCCTCCAGACATGCGACGCACCGTGTCTTGAACTTTCCTTGGTAGTATGCCTTCCACGTAACAGTCTCGTGCGTGACCCGTTTTCCAACGCTCTGCCAGAAGATGTCCTCAGGGAGGTTGGGCGGCAGCCGACGGACCACGGTCTTGAGGCGTTCGGTCTGCGACTTCTGACCTCCGCTAAAGGACTTAGATTTCTTGTTTTTCTCTTTATCCTTCCCTTTGACCTTGGAAGGTCTAGCCGTGTCGATCGTGGACAAAGGAGGTTGTCACATTGGCAGGGAGTATGGACTGTGGTGGTATCGGTGCAAGAGTAAGAAGCGCCTTCTTCGGCAGTCTCCGAGGGTCCCAAGCAGGAGCAGCTCCCGGCGAGATACATTATAGAGTCCTTTCGCAGGCGATTTGGCACAGGAGAAGTAGGCGGACGTGGTATATGCGCAGGCACGAAGTATCAAAGAAATGTGTGTTGTACGATCTTGAATGTCCAAATGCCATTTGTGTTGGAATCCTGGCGTCAAGATGGCGAGCTCGCGGAACGAGCGCCACAGGTCCCGCCCCCCGACGGATACCCGCGCCCTTATCTACCCCTATTCTACTGTGTATATAAGGTCTATTGTATGTACTATGTACGGCACACGTTTGCACCGGCCAAACGCGAATCCCATTTGTGCCCGCTTGCCCTCGAACTTCTTCAATTTGCTCGTCTGCGTTGCTCACCATCAGCAAAAATGTCGAATCATTGTAATGTGGGTTGTATTGGCAATATAAGGAGTGTCTATATCAGCTTTCATTGTAACACTAGCCTTGACAATATAGGTGGTCTATTGGCATTAGATATGAGAGCTTAATATTTGGGATCACTGTAGTACATAGCGTCGTCATTGTAACTCCTAAGATTGCACTGGAACACATAGGCATGACCGGCCAGGAATTATCATGTGAGTAGGGTGTTCCAGTGCCATTAGCATTGTATACCTGGTCAAGTAGTGCTTTGGCTGTTGGAATCTGTAGAATTCACACTCTAGTATCGGTTGGATGGTGTAGTGGTAACACCTCCCAGCGCATATGGGATGACCCGGGTTCAATCCTGGGTCTGACCAACCAACATGATAAACTCGGGGCTGTGAAGACAAGGATCAGACCCGACTAGAGTCGAAGCAAGATCTTCAGTCAGTAAGGAAAGACTATATTGCAGTAACCAACTGTACCTAGAGTCGAAGCAAGACTACAAAGGTTAAGTAAGTAACTACAAGTTAGAGGTAAAGGTAATGAAGTACTCACTCTTCAGTCAGTAAGGAAAGACTGAAGAGGGAGGGCGCAATCTGAAGTCCTTATATACTACAGAGAAGTGTCCATGACTAATCAAAGAGTGGTTAGTCACATGTACCATAGTGCGATGAATAATACAATGACGAAAGAATTGCGACGTATCGCACCATAGGATGAGTAAGAGATGAGTAAGGCATAGACCTGTCTAGACCGTTCTGGAGTAGTACGGATTGTCCTAGACAGTACTAGAAGAGACCGGAAGCATAGCTATAGTACACGAGCAAAGAGTCCCAAATATGGTAACATACTACATAAGCAACTACAGCTAAGCGCTAGGAGACGCATAGCCTCGTGTAGTCCGGACCGGATAAGTCCAAGTTCAACATTGGCAATGCGGGTCTGTAGCGAACACACCGCCGACACGGTAACACACGGATATATATGCGAAAAATTGTATTGAATTACGTTAACTACAACATGATAAGCTCATGGGAGTGTCTTCCCGATGACCTCGCGCCACACGCCCTTGGTCTCACTGACGACCCATTTGACACTCTCCTCCGCCTTCTTCGCTGTCTCAATCTACGTGCTCAGGTACCGGTAGGGTCGAGGGGAGCACAGAGCAGAACAGCTGGGGGGGAAGCGATGCCCAGACTTCGGCCATCTCGGACATTGCAGCGGGACTTTGGGAGCAGGATACGGTGAGACAAGAAGACTGGAGGGACGAAGAGATGAGACATACGTGGGGGCGCCAGCCGATGCTGATTGAGGAATATATAGAGCCGAGGAGAGCCACTGGAGTCAACCGTGGCTAAAGACGAGGGACAGGCTCATCTCAGCGCAGCACGTAATACACCTTTCCACACATATGCAGGGTATCAGCATAGTTGTCCTTGCCAAGTAGCACAAAGTAAGCACACACCTGTCGCGTGGCCTAGCTCAATGCATCCGATCTACTGCATATATGCTACAAAAAGGGATGTCAGCAACGGTGAACAGACATACATCCAAGACACCGGACAGAAAGATGTGAAGGCTACATGGGGCGACAGCGTAGGGAAAACGGATCAGATCCTCAACTCACCTCTCATATATCCGCTTAACTTGAGGACGAGACACATAGACATCTCCTGCCCCGCATCTCTCCTACCACTCTCACCACATCACGCACCCCTAAAGACGTCTGGGGACATATTGAGGCCGAGTTCGCGCACAGTGTAGCTCAGGGACGTGACCGCCACCTTCTCCGTAGCGGGGTTGTTGCCCACTGGATTGTCAGAGACGACTTTGGGAGCGAGTGCTTACCTCTCAGGGCTGCTATCTCACTTCAGGCTCACTGTCCCGCTCAATCTGAGACTGCCCTCCGTTGAATGCGGTGGCCTCAGTAGCTGAGGGCGGGTGTAGCCAGGATTTTCTGCCTCGTCAAAGCCATACCTGAAAGAAGATGGGCTGAACGACCGCACATTGACCGAAAACACGTCCGCAGATGGGCCTGGTATCGACGTCGAAGGAGAGAGCACCGGTAGGGAACCTGCAGACGGCGAAGGAGAGTGGTTCGTCGAACAAGAAGAAGCAGCCTGGGCCGATGTTGTGGGGCGACCTTGTTCAAGTACCATACGGTGCGTCAGCGGTGACAGTATCGGCCCAGTCAGTCTTTGAGCATGTTGATGATGGGAGAGGAGAGGAGGGAGGCGATGACTGATCTGTGCATGCGCACGGGCTTTTGAGAAGAAAAGACAAGGTGATTGACAGGTCATGACTTATGACCTCATGCATGCCAAACGTCCCCCCGTATTGAGACTGGCCACGATCTGCAGCCGTAACCCTAACCCAAGGCTCTTCTGCTCACAAGCGTCGGACACTGATTGTGCGGTGGACTTGTGAGTGACCATGGACTTGGTCGATATTGTCAACCGTACGGACGTGGTACAAGCTGTTGGACGGTCGATGAAGATGCACACGTCTTCCGTGTTCTCCCCACACTACTTGGCGTTAGTTCAGAACGCGCTGTCTTGTATGCGGGGGACTTCTCGCTTGCTATTGTATTGGACTCAGCTCGAGGGGAACCCGCGTTCTGGAAGTAGAAGGGCCTGCACCACCGTTGATGCAGTCCTTCCGGATGCTCGTGGTAGAAAGGCTACTTCGAGGCATTGGGCTTGGACTGGTATACAAGAGACACTTTGCTCGTTCCGAGCCCAGAAGGCTGACACGTGAAATGGAAGGGGCGGAACTGACCTTTACATCCAGCCCACGACTTATCGGTGAGAGCGATGCACAACAAGCAACGGTGGTAGTGGTGACGCGCGAGATGATGGACATCAGGAAAACGTCACGGACTTGGACCCATACTTGGGCCCAAGTTTATGTACTTGGACTCAAGTCCGTGTACTTGGCCTCAAGTCTGTGTACTTGGCCTCAAGTCCATGTACTTGGTCCCAAGTACACGGACT